GGGGGGAGCGGCTCCGGTGCGTTCCCGCCTTCCCTCCCCGCCGCAGGGCGCGGCGTGGTTACAGCTCGAGCGTTAAAAAAAATCTGTTGTTTTGTTTTGTTTTTAAACTGTGGCTATTCCCGTTGCAAAAGCCTGCCCCCGGCCATCTCAGTGGCTCAGCTTTCCAGACTGGAAAGCCCCAGAGTAATACTTACCGAGCTAATTCTCGCATTATGCAGCAGCCTGTCTTAAAAAGAGCCGAGTTTGTGGGGAGGTGAGTGGCGTTGATTTACATCCTGGTACCCAAAAGCATATAATACCTGAGAGTTTAACACGTGGAATGGTTCCCGCCCCAAAAACGTGCTTTGCCCCTTGAAGTTTCATGTATTAAGTAGCTGAAGTCTTGCTCCCCTGTGATGCACTTCAAACGTCTGCTGCCATTTATTCTGCACGTAGTCTTCTGTGCACGTGTGGCCTGTCATAGCAGATGCTTCTCAATATAAACATCCTTGGGTTCCATCCTGAGTGCCCAGAAACACCAGGTTGGAAGGGTTGAGGTCTTTTGCTGCTGGCAAAGAACCCACAGAACCCCTGAATTTAGCTAGGGTGCCTCTGCCTGGCTTTCATAGCTACAGCGCTCAGTACTCTAAAGGACTCAGAAGTTAAGAAAGTCCTTGCAGATAACACATTTTGCGAAAGGGGAAATTGGAAGGTTTTTATCTAGTGACAAACTGGGATTTGCTTTAGAAAATTTGCTTTAAATTTTAATCTGAAAGTATTTTAATGGTATATTCTGCTGTATAGTACTTGTAATTAGCTGAAAAACTGGTGGGGGCTTGTGTGCATATATATATAAAATGAAATACTGGCATTTCACAGTATGTCATATAATGAAAATGGCTACAATGAACTACTTGTTGGGGTTTTTTTTAACAGTGATGTTTAAATTTTTTTATGTATCTGAATAATAGCGTGGTTGCAAAACCGCAACTCTTTACCTAAGCTTGGTTTGCGGTATTGGTAGTAGCTGCACGTAGGCCTAGGAGGGAGATGCAGGTCTTTAGTTCCTTTTGCTAATGTGCAAAAGACTTCAATGCCTCACTCTAGTTTACATCCATTGTTCTGATGCGTAATTCTGAAGCTGTGAACGGAGTATTTTGGGAGGGAGAGGTAGAACACTGACTTCTTTTGACATTAGGGAATGGAAAGGTGATCATCAGATTTGTAACTTCCTGCATGTTAATGGGGAGGGCTCTAACTGCCAGATTCATTTTTAGAGTTTACATTCAGTTAATAGAAGGATGCTTGTATTATAAGTATAAAAATTAGGTTTTCAACTGTGGAATATTTTTTTCCATGTAAAATCTTCACTGGATATCTTTATCTCAGAAGTTAAAGTAAGAGCTCCTGTAGCTCTCTTAAGTTTTCTGGTTTTCTTCACGTATTTGAGCAAGTTATACACTTGGATATCTGGAGTGGTAGACTTTTCATGTCAATCTGTTTGGAAGTCTAATGTGTTCCCCTCTTCCGTAATAGTGCTGTTTGCAGTATGACTATTAAATGCATTTATAGGGTCTTCTCATTCTTTGGAAAGTGGTTGGAACTTAGCATGGCCTGGCTTCAGGTGGAAATAAACTCAATGAGTTCATCTCCTTTTTTTTTTTTTTACCTCATATTTATCACCTCTGTCTGGCTTACCTGTATTATTGTAAAAGACATAGGGTTAGTCCTCAAGGTAACGTTGCAAGTGATTAGAGAATGATGACTAAATGATACTGAAATGCATCGATAATTTTTTCAACTAAAATTCTGATGATTGACTTGGGTTATTTTCTTAAAGCTAATGATTCTAACTTAAATGATGCTACCTGCTTATAGAGCCAGAGTGGGATGCTTTATTTCTGACTAGCTGTTTATGTTGCATCAGAAATGTTGTCTTTCCTGTTTTCATGTACTTGTTATCTTCTAACCTTTATTCTGTCTAGCTCTTGTATTTAATTTCTAAATAGATGCTCTCTGTATAGAAACTGTACGCTACTGTACGATTATGGTTGGAAAGTGTTTTGACATGGCTTTTTAGTCATGCCTGCTTTTTCATAATTGCATAAAAATACAAATATTTTGACACGAATTGTTATAAAATGAGTCATTAAAGAGAATGTGTTTCAAAAACCTGTAATTGAGCAAAGAAACAATAGCAGTCCTTAAAAGTAAAGCACAGAATCCATAATTGATGAACAGGGCTTTTTGCCTTTTTTGTTGTTGTTTTGTTCAAATAGAATTTGACCGTTTTGAATTCTTGGTAATCCAGTTTCTCTCTAAAGATAATTTTGCTGTCAGTGATGAAAGGGATGCAGAAATAACAGTTGCAGTTCTTCCAACAAGTCATAAAAGCAGCACTTCTCATCACTGTGATGAGTGGAAGTACAGAGTAGTTGTTGCAGTGGAGTCCTGACAGCTCCCAAGAGTTGTTACTGGAATTGCACAACTCTGTTTTAGCACAAAGGTTTAATTTAATTTTTTTTTTTTGTGTGTGTGCGCTGTTTATACAGCTCCGTACCTGCCTTTTCCTACAAGTGTCTCATATATCTGTGTACTGTTGAGGTTAAATACGTTGCAAACTTTGCATATATCCTTGCTGTGCATTTAATCATTGTAATCAAATAATGGTTTAAGGGATTTTGGAGTAACTTGCTTTTGAATTGTTCTGGGATTGTAACTGTAGATTCAATAGAAGGTAACTGGATAATAACAACATTTTCAAGGACTAGGAGTGCAACTGTTTACCCTTGGCAGTTCATGCAATAACGTATTATAAAATGTGCATATGTATTAGTTAAACATATCTCATAGACTGTTCTAAGCTTGCATGGTTTTCGGGGGGGATGTGAAGAGAGCAGAGGAAACTCACCATTTTGGCCTTGAGATGATTCAAGGTGTCAGGCTTAAAACCATCTGATTTTGAAACTGTTAATTTGGAATTGCTCAAGAATTTGATTCCTGTGGTTTTTTTAGCTTGAACTGTTCTGAAATACATGATTGGAAGCTGGGAATGTTATTGAACTTTTTGAGTTAGAGAATTCTCAGTCTTTTTCCAGTAAGCCAGGCTGTGAAAGAGTCTTACTGTTTAAAAAACGAAAAAGAAAAAAAAAATATGTTGCCAACAAGCATTAGATGGATCTTAACTTGTGAGCATTGTGTTACCCTGGATATTACCTATTAGCACCACTAAAATGCTTCAGAATTTTTGTTTTCCTTTGTGCAGGAGAAGTTCCAAGGCTTCCCTAGACAGTCACTGTAGTCCTAGAGAAAACTCTTTGATTCTTGCAGACTGGTAGAAAATTACGTGCCCTACTGTCAGCCTATGAGGATAAAAATTAAGGGGGAACAGTTAACTACATGTACTGTGTTTTTTCCCTAGCCCTATAACAATTTATGACTGCAGTTGTTTAGTCCTTCCAGTATAGCTGAGATTAAGTAATAATCAGCGTTCCAGGGACACATCTAGATTTTTGCAATAGCTTCAGAAGATGCCTTTTTTGTAACTTGTGGTATTTTATCTTGACAGTTTATCCTTGTAAACTAGAGGTAGTGGGGGGCTGTTTGCTTGCCTTTTTCTGCAGGGCTTTGTGCCAGGACTCCTGCCACCACTTCTTCCCTCTTTTATCCTCTCTTCCCAATTCATCCCTGTCCCTGTCCTGTCCTTTCCCATTCAGGTTTGTTTTCAGCCAGTTTAGGACTTGACTGTGAGGTTGTGCTGGTGACAGGAGGGAGGAGAGAGGGGAGAACAGGACTGCATCAGCCTGACTTTAGAAGCTGTAGGATACCATCCTTAGGATATAGTTTTATGTTGCACTAATTGCTGAAAGCAGATAGTCCTGCACCCTTCCCGTTCCTCCTGCCCGCTCCTGTTTGCCCATTTCCTTCTCCTCTCCCCTGCATCATGTCTTACCAGTTGCGTGGGCCCCTAAGGAGTTGGTTGAGCCTGCTGAGTTGATAGAAATATTTTTTTTTCCCTTTGGAGTGGGTATGGCCAGAACAATTGAAAACTATCAGTAGATGGGAATGCAGGACAGAGGATGGATGGGAATGGTAGTCCTTGTGGCAGCTTGCCATTAAGTATGATTAGATGTTACGTGAAACAGCTGGAGAATTTAGCCTATGCTTGTTTCTGGCTGCTACCAAAGTCGATATAATATAGAAGTTTACTCTATATTGAAAGAATGCTGTCTATACAGAGAATGCTTCTTAACTTGTAGCTAAGCAAAGGTCAGAATATTGAAATACATAAACGAAATGAAATTGTTTTCTGGGCAGCAATTTTTTAATTGCATAAGAATTTTAGGCCATTAGGGTTCTCCTAACTTGTTTGACCTCTGTTCCAAAAATAATTCTAATTTTAGTAATATCTATAATAATAATAATATTTAGTTTTGACTTAAAATACAAGTTACGTTTTAATGAGAAAATCCATTTCAGCCAAGGAAGCAGCTTTTCCTTGTGAGAAAGAGTGGGTGGGTGGTGTGTGATGTGCATCAGTACAAGTGGTAGCGGGGTTCTAGGTGAAAGAGCTAACAGACATAGTGGGCACTATGTTACATTGAGAAAAGCACAGTGGATGTGTGCTTTTTATTTGCTGGTTTTACAGTGAATTGGATCATGTTTTGTGTCACAACAAAAAGCTGAGATTATCAGCAGGATTTGAATCAATAAAACATGTCACTCTTCTGATAATCTTAATGTTTTGTTTTTTCTCTTCTCTGTTTTGCTGAAAAGTATGGGAGGCACAATACCACCTGCTCCAGCCAATGCTTCCACAGAGGAGACAAGTAAGGTGAGATATGAAGAATTTATCATTGAAAACTAGCATTTAGACTCTCTGCGCTGAACAGCAGGAGGGAAAAAATTGCTGTCAATTTTCATTCAAATAGGGTAGGTCAGTATGCTAGGGTGAGTGATTGTGAGAGTTCCGTCTGAAGCCCATTGCATGTTGTAGATGACTTGTTACAGGTGGCTTCCTAGTTTATTTCAAATGTTATCATGCTCCATTTCCCTAATCCTGAACGCCTGATGTTCTATGCAATGCAAATGCCACACAAAGTCTTGATTTCTTTTTTTTTTTATGTTCTCACTGTTTGTTTATAAACCTCATCTATAGTCATTAGTGGATTAAATTATAATCTTTGCATGGGAAGAAATATTAGTGAGCGTGATCGGTAATGGAGTGAACAGCTGAACTATCAACTTTTTAAGGCAGTATCGTGGAAGAGTTTTTAGTTGGTTTTTGTTCATTTGTTTTAAGAGAAATAATAAATTTGGCTTGTAGATATTTATAGCAGGATTTTCCCAAGCTTGAAATTCTTTTGAAAAAGTAGAATTCTTTTTTTTTTTGGATTTAACAAGGCAGTGGATGCTGGAAATCCTGGCTGGTTAGAACTATATGGAGGGATTGTGTATATGTAGTGAGTACAGTCTGTGATACTGAATATGCAGGCAAGCAGCTTATGTCTGTGATAAAGCAGGACATGCTAAGTTATTCAGAGGAAATTAGTACTGTAATTAGAAGATGATAGAATGTTTTTTCAAATGTTTTCCTAAGTATGTATAAGCAGCAAAGACTTCTGACCTTGGCAAATGGAAACAATATTTTGATTGTCGACACCAGCTTATTGTTTGCTGCTAAGGGACCCTAGCTTGGAGTATTGGATTAAGACAATTTTTGATCCAGAGAATGTGTGAGGGAAGGCAGGAAGATTGAAAGGATTGGCTAGTATTCATTTCAAAACTGGTTCTGAATTGGGTATTATCTGGATTATTTGGTTTTGATGATTGAATTAACACAATTTGAAGGATGGACTTTACCAATAATAGAAGTTCATGCATCAAAATTTGGGCTCTGAATTATTTGCATGACTGATAGGCTTAATCTGAGAGGAGGGAAAAGGAGATTTGTATCTTAAAAATAAAACAGTTTAGCTGCAGAGCAGTCTGATGCTTTGAAGATTAATTTTGGATTTTCTGATGCATTGTTATTTATTAGAGTGGGACTAGAATATCAGACAGAAATAATGTATGCTTACAAATACATTTCTATTTCAGGGCAAAGCAGAGGAACAGCCAGAGGAGCCAGTTCAATCACCTGAGCCAGAAAGTGAAGAGAGCGACTTAGGTATGGAAAACAGATGACTTTATCACATTTCACCAATTTGAACATGGTTCTGGAAATCCTCTCTCTGTTTGTAGATGGAGCTTAATCTTGCTTTTTGTTTCCCCCCCAGAAATTGACAATGAGGGAGTGATTGAACCAGACAATGATGAACCTCAAGAAATGGGAGATGAAAATGTGGAGGTAAGCACAATATTTTCATTGTCTGTGGCAGTAGGAAAGATAGGGAGAGGTTTTGAGTTTAGTCAAGGATAGCAGCTGAGGGGAGACGAGTACCATGTTAGCTAGGTAGCCAGCTGTTTGGCTCTTTTGTTGTTTGGCTCTCCTAAGTAGAAACATACTGTCTTTAAACCACAGTCTTTTCTTATTCAAGGTTAGAGTCCATCAAAAAGTTCAGCGAGGAGAATCAGGTCAGAAAACACCAAAAAAAAAATTATCAAAACACTCATGAGAACTAGATATGTAGAAATATGCCATTATTCAACTTACCTTTTGACTGTTTTCTAGCTAAGAATAATGGTGGTTAATGTCTCCAAGCTGAAAGCAAAGTTAATTTTTCTTAAACTGTGATTTCAATGCAAATTAAAGACAAGATCCTAGAATCAGAAGACCAGAGCTCCCTTCTTCAGTGCTGTCTTAGCATGGTAATTCTGGCCCGGACTCTCACAGCTTTTGGGTTTTGTGTGTGTGTTTTATTTTCTTTATTTTCCTAGGTAACTGAAGAGATGATGGATCAAGCTAATGAGAAGAAGATTGAAGCAATAAATGCTCTAAGTGAAGGTGATAAATTGTTTTTTAGTACATATTCAAGGACATTAGGTTTGGTTCTCCTTTTTAAAAAGGAAGTAAATATCTTGGATAACTTGAATGCTTTCAAGGAAGAGAAAGCCCACTTCCTGTTGGATACCCAAAACTAACTAGAAGGCGAAAGCTTCTCTAAGTATTGTCTTCCCAATGTAGCTATAGTTTTGGACAGGGTGGGAGGGAATGAGGTACTGCGGCATCTTAATTACAAATTGCTCATTATAGTACTTCCCTACATTCTATGATTAGCATCTCTAGTGGTTTGTCTTAGTGCAGTAAAAAGCTGTGTAATAAAGAGGTGACTTCGTGTTTGATTGCATGCAAAGTTAAATGTACAAATTTAACTGGGAAAAGCCTCTCCTCCCCTCTAGCTTTAATTATGGAGTTTGTACTTCAGTAACATCACAAGAGGGAGAAATTGATTTTCCTTTGTTGATAATGTTCCGTTTAAGAAGTGCCTTACACCCTGTAAGGCAGGTTTGGCAATCTAGGTGTAATTTCATTGCCTAATGATTGAAACTTAACTGGTGCTCATATTTAGGTGAACTGCAGAAGGCTGTTGACTTGTTCACAGATGCTATCAAGCTGAATCCTTGTCTGGCCATCTTGTACGCCAAGAGGGCAAGGTGAGTCATTATAAATTAGTGACTTACATTTCTGCCTGTTCTGTTATTTTCCTTAAGAAAATAGGCTCCTTAAAGAGCCTAAATATAATGGCAACTTGAGGATCTATGTAAACTTAAACCACATGAGGGAGAGAGAAAAGTACACTTCATGGATTTTCTCTTACATGTGATTATCCAGATTTGCTGAAGCAGCCATATACAGAATATTGATAATGGAGTAAGTAACAGAATGATGTTCCAAAATGCATTGTGGTAGTATTGCTTTTGGTATGTTGAATTAGAATAATGCTGGATAACAAACACTTGTAAAATCTAAAGGTTATTCTGGGATTAAGATGATGAGTGAAATCATGTCCTGTTTAGATGCCAAGTTAATTGTGGATCATGTGAATTCTCTCCCTGTTGTACCTGCTAAATGAATTCGTTCACTGTGAAGTAGACTTTTTTCCTTTCAACAGTCTGTCCTGGTTTGAAGTAAAACAGAATCAATTTTCTGTTCTGTAACTTCACTTTTTAGCTAGGCCTCTTTTAAACTACTGAAATTAACAGCATATTGTCCAGAAACTGTTGGCTCTCAGAGTAATGAGAGACCTATGTTTATAGTTGATGCCAAGGAATGGTATGCAGAGAGGCTCTTGCTTATACTTATTGCTATAACACCCAAGGGCAGTTAACTTTGTTATTTGCCCTGTTGCGGGGTCGGAAGTGGAAAAGCGTAGAGGGATCCCACCTGCGGGGAGGAGCGGACAGGACAGGGGACCCAAAACTGACCAACGGGGTATTCTGCCCCATCTGGCTCATGCTCGGTATAAAAGCTTAGAGATCAAAGGGTCAGGGCTCTTTCTTCAATGGCCGGTGTCCGAGGAGGACTCTGTTCATCTGCCTTTGATCCCGATCCTGAATCCAGATCTGGAATCCAGTTCTGCTCCATCTCTCTCTCTCTCTCTCTCTCTCTCTCTCTCCCCCCTGCCTCTCTTTGAAGAGAGATAGGGGAGAGCACCTGTTGTTCCGCCCAGTGGTCAGTTTGGCCCAAACCATGACACAGTCCTACGTTTGAACAGGACACACCTATTTCTCAACCCATTCAATACCCACCTTACTGCTAATCACATCTACTGGACTGCATATAATGCATTGGGAACATTGTCACATTTCATGTGTGGTAGCCCTAAGTTCATAATGCACAAACACGTTTATCCTCCTAATTCTTGAGGAAGGCTTACGGGTTACAGAAGTTCTCGCAGATTTTCTTTTCCTCCGTTTACACAAAAAAAATCACTAACCATGGATGATTTGATGGCTTAGTGGATCTTTTCCATAGCAAGGTATAATTCAAAGAGATGTTCAACTTCTGATGACTTTCATGTGGTTAATTAGTGTCCTTTATCTGTTCCATTCTAGTACATCTAAACTGGTACATGCCTTGCTGTTTTTTCCTTCCATATCAAAGTTTTTGCATGTAACACCGCTTCTGTATCTTATTACACTGTTGTTGCCATCATAGTAGTATTTTTGAAACCTCTTACAGTGCCATGTCTTCTCAAGACTGGGACTAGCAATGAAAAATAAGAGGGATAGGAGAAGTTTAAAAGTTACCTCATTTGGTCTTTTGTAGAAATAAGCAAACAGTATAGCAGGATATTGTAAAACCTGCAGTGCAACAGCAGTGCTGATCAAATGCTGTGAATAATCCACCTCTTGGGGGACTTGGGTTTTGGTGTTGGGGGTGTGTGCATTTGGGAAACTAGGAGTTTTGTGCTGCCAGCAGCAGTCTCTCGTTAGCGAGGTGTAGCTTTGAGACAGTTTTCGTGACATGTTGTCCATCTCTTTGTTTCTAGAAGTGGATGTGTCACTTTGTGCTTGCTTTATAACAAGCCTTAATGATGAAGTTACTTACAGGCACTCTAATTGCTGATAAATTGTTTTCAAGTAGATGTAAAAGGGCAGAAGTTCTGACTTGGAGTATCTTGAATATCAAATACTTTTTTCAATTCAGGAATGTTTGTTTAGTGTTTCCTTCAGAGATTTTTAATTTAAAATGCCTGTACTGCCCTACTAGTTAATCTGATATGCTTGTGTATTGTAAAATTTGCAGTTATTTCACTTAACTGACAAGGGATTGGGCCTACTTTCTGGGTTTGTGTTTTGTTTTACCTCATTTAATTTTGATGACTTGTCTATCTTGTTTTATACCTCCTGATGATTCTAGCCATTGATCCTTGTGGCCTGTGTTTTCTTTGTCTTACTGTTTTAAAGACTATGTAATATGGCATGCATATTGTTGTTGTTTTGTTCAAATTACTACTTGCCATTGGCTGTAGACTCCAAACACCACGAAATTGAACCGTCCTTTGCATTTATGTATCCTTTCCTTGTGCACTAAAGTAGTTATTGCTGGCAAGGCTTGAGTCTGAACAATGAGTGCTTTTGCTACTTACTATGATTCACCTACAGTGATGGGGGGGAACTAAATTTCAGTAACTCCATTATCACTACAAAATCTTTTTGAACTCAGCTCTTGAAGTGTATCATCTCACTGGCTTGCCTGTTAGTCATCCAGAATTATTTCCAGCTTAAGTTAGTAACTTGGTATTTCAATATGTACAATAAATGTTCTTGTTCACACAGTGTTTTTGTGAAACTACAGAAGCCAAATGCTGCCATTAGAGATTGTGACAGAGCCATCAAGATTAATCCTGACTCTGCACAGACCTACAAATGGAGGGGGAAAGCGCATAGGTAATGACCTGCACCTGTAATTGATACTCTCTTTACTTACTTGTGGAGAACAGTTTTGTTAATGCATTCTCTCTTTTTTGTCTCTGAACTGTCTGTCTGTCTTGTACCTGAGAGCAGTAGCCATGAGCCAAGAAACCATTGTGCTGAGTGTATGGCTCACAGGAAAAAAAGGATGATGATGGCAATTTATGAGTAGTCCTTCTGGCACTGTCTTCTTTTATAATTGTTTGGGTTTTTTTTTTTAACATATCTTCTAGTGGCTTACTGCTGTTCTGAATAGCATTTTGTAGTCATTCACTGAAGATTATGATTTCTACGTGTTTGGAGGTCTTACGTGTTTGGAGGTCTTACGTGTTTGGAGGTCTTACTTTCACTTAGTTTTTATTTACAAACCTATAATTCTTAAACATTTCTCTGCTGCCCTTATCCCATTAGATCCTAGAGCTCATTTACATAGTAAATTAAAGTGTCTAGTTATTAAGGGAACCATTTGTTGCAATTGAAGAGTGGTGTTAAGCAAACAATGTAATTATTTAAAATGGCATTAGGCCAGTGTGCATCCTCCCCCAACTCTAGTTACTGTCTTTTTTTTCTTGATGACAATAAATCAACCCCAAAAAAGTAAGGTGACACTTTTTACAGTCTGTATAAAAGTGGAAGGAATAAATGCTAATAGAACTGACTCCAAACAAAGGCATTTTAAAGTGTTCAGAGAGTAGTTTGTTAATGTCTACAGTTTTAGTGAACAACATGGAGCCTAAGAGTGAGAAGATGAGCATAGTTTGGATTAACACCTCTGTCTGTAAACTGAAGTGCTTTTACCATTTAGGAATACCACCCTTTGCTTAAAGTTTTGGTTATCAAGAGTTTGCATAAATGAATAGTTAAGAAGTGTGCACAGTAGCTTGTATGACCTGTTCAACTAAGACATGGTGCACCTAGTTAACTGTAATGTTTGAGTGCTGAGTAAAGAGAATCCACTTAAGCTTGAGGTAGTAGTGGTGTAGACTTGTACAGAACACTGAGTGTGTAGTTTTACCCCGAACATTTGCTTAGTGGTGCAGAGTATTTATTAGTGTGCTTCATGTGTTTAGGTAGGGTACCTTCTCCCTGTTAAACCCTTCTTGTTCATAGCAAACAATGACACTAGCTGATTGAGGGTTTTTTCCTCATCGTTGCTTTGAGCAAAACTTATTGTAAGGGTATGAAGCAAGTAAATACCTTCTAATGGCATGGTAGCATGCAGGTTACAGAAAACACCATGGTTACTAAACTTTAAACTTCTCTAAGTCTATAAAGCTGCAGGTAAAAGTACTGAATGCCGCATGGTTGTAAGTATTTTGAAGAGCTAAAAGAGTTTAGTTTGCTCTTTTCTTTCTGAATGTTGGTATCTTCTGAATTCCAGACTTCTGGGTCACTGGGAGGAGGCTGCTCATGATCTTGCCTTAGCTTGTAAACTGGATTATGATGAAGATGCTAGTGCCATGCTGAAGGAGGTGCAACCAAGAGTAAGTGAGGAGACATAATGGAGGTTCCTCTTCTGTTTGTTTAAGTGATGTTGCTGCCTTTAGATTCTTCCAGTATGCATTATTTTGGGGGAATGTGTTCATGTGTCATCTTACACTTCAGACTGAGTTTATAAATACTTCTGTCTTCAATCACAGCTGTTTATGGCTGTGTGTAGAGAAATTGAGTCTTTGGGGCTGAGCGTGTAACTGAACTATGGAATAATATGTTCCTTTTCTAAAATCTTAACAGAAGAACCTGAAGTAGTTGAAGTTTGCCAGGCATTTTAGAATCTAGACTAAAACATTCAGAAGAGCAAGAGAACACTGTGATAATGGATTTTTTTCCAAATGTTTCTGAATTGATCAAAGTTTCATCCTAAACACGTTTTACAAAGGAAGCACTTTGCTGTGATTTGTACTTTCATTAGTCTACCCCATGAGGGCAGCATAGTCTCTGTAAGACTGGTTTTCAGCTTTTCTCAAGTGATTGACCACGGCATTCTTCTAAGGAAGAACTTTTGTTTAAAAAAATGTAAGACTGTTCATAGCAGGCTTTCTTTTTCATCTGTTGTGCATAGTCCTCTAAAGTGGTTGACAGACCACAGATTGCAGCTGTTGCATTGTATTGGGTTTAAGTGGTAAGGCTTGGGGGAGGTGGAGACTGCAGGACTGGCCTCTTTTAAAAAGACATATGGGGGTGTCCCTATATCAGACAGGCCCAGTTCCTGTGGGCTCCAAACCAGACCCACTGCTGGCCAAAGCTGGGCCAGTCAGTGACACTGGTGGTGCTTCTGTGATAACATATTTAAGAAAGGGTTAAAAAACACAGTGCAACAGCTGTGAGAGAGGGGGTTAAAGAAAAAAAAATGTGAGAGAAGCAACCCTGCAGACACCCAGATCAGTGAAGAAGGAAGGGGAGGAGGTGCGCCAGGCACGGGAGCAGAGATTCTTCTGCAACCCATGGAGAAAACCACGGTTACGCATGTTGTCCCCCTTGAACCTATGGAGGTCCACAGCTAAGCAGACATCCACCCTGCAGCCTGTGCAGCACCCCATGCCAGAGCAAGTGGATACACCCTGAAGGAAGCTGCAGCCCATGAAGAGTCCATGCTGGAGCAAGCTCCTGGCAGAAACTGTGGCCATGAAGAGGAGCGCATGCAGAATCTGGTTTTCTGGCAGGAGCTGCAGCCCATGGGGGACCCATGCTGGAACAGTGTTGCTTAAGGGCTGTACCCCATAGGGATGACCCACGCTGGGGCAGTTCTTAAAGAACTGCAGCCTGTGGGAAGGACCCACATTGAAGCAGTTTGTGAAGGGCTGCATCCTGGGGGGGCCACCCCATGCTGGAGCAGGAAAAAAGTGTGAAGAGGAAGGATGTGAAAAGTGTGAAGAGGTGCAGTGTTATGAACTGACTGCAGCCCCCATCACCTTGCACCATTTGGGGTGGGGGGAGGAGGATAAAGAGTGGGGAACAAGGGAGTGAAGTTGAGCTTTGGTAAGAAGTGGAGTGGGGGGAAGGTGATTTTTAGATCTATCTTTGTTTCTTATTATCCTACTCTATTTTTAATTGGCGATAAATTAAATTAATCCTTTCCATGTTGAGTCTGTTTTACCCATGATGGTAGTGGATGAGGGATCTCCCTGTCTTAATCTCAAGTCAGGAGCTTCTCCATCTTACTTTCTGTCCCTGTCCTGTTGAGGAGGAGGAATGAAAGAGACGCTTAGTGAGCATCTGGCAGCTAGCCAGCCAAGGTTAACCCACCATGTGCATAAACGTTCCTGTGTCTAATAACCAGCTTTCAGTTTTCCTACCACACCTTTGTAAAAGACACCGTCTACAGCAAAACAGCAATTTAAACCTTCTTATAATCTATTAGTCTTCTGTGTTGGCGAGTATTGATCTGTGGTAAATCTAATTAGGTCTTAGGTCTCAACCTTTTTTATAAGACGTATACTTAATGCTTGGCTGAGGGGAAACCTTTTAGTTCCCAGTTAATCTGCCCATGCACAGAAACAGCAGAGTACTTCTGTGATACATGGATGTGCAGTTGCCAGCTGTGGGGAATTTGTGTATGTAGCTCAAGGGAAAATGGATGATCAGGGGTGATTTTTTTTTTTTTTTTTTTCATCTTTATGGAGTGAAGATGATACATTCACCTAATTTATTCACTTCCAGCTTTCCTAGCACTTTTTAGCTTGTAGTACTTTCAGCCAAAAATCTGGAGTTAAATTTTAAAAGTTCTTGGTTCATTTAGAAAAATACTTGCAAACAACTAAAGTCAGAACTTTGAAAACACTTATGTGCCATTAAAAAAACCCAAAACTTCTCTCTCTTAGTGAACTATTCAATGACCATAACACCAGGTTTTACCAACTGGTACTGCATTTAATACCAGTCAGTCCTGGTGCCTGCAAGTGTGCTTTCTCTCAACAGGTGTACGGGCGGTATGGAATGAATATCTCCTGGCTAAAATAAATTGTATTGAAACTTCACTACTTATAAAATCATTTCTTTGTTTAAAGGGTGGTCTGAAAGAATAGAAGAGTGTCCGTTAGTAGTTAGTGTCTGTTCTTACACCTTGATTTTGCTGTGTTTTTTAGTCACAGAAGTGTTACAGGGTAACCATCCTGCACAGTTTGGGAAATCATGAACCATTTTTTGTAATGCTGTATTAGGATATGTTCTGGTTTCAGGAATGCAGTGCTGCAGTTAGTGTTTTATTGTTAAAATGAGCCTTGAATGAGGAGCCTTGGGGAGTTCATTGGTAACTACTCTCCTCTGCTGGGCTGCAGATTTGATAGACTTGAGAAAAGGTAGTAGTAGGAAGCAGACTTTCTCCCCACCAGCCCTTTCTTGGTTTGGTTCAGGTATTCTTTGGTCTGCTTACATTTAACTGTATATGATGCAAAGGCATCTGGAACAGCAATAACAGTATCTAAGGTGCATCTCTGTGCAGGGGGAATTATACTTCCTGTTGCTGTGCCGGTATAAATTCCTTTTTCCGGGGAGTTGCTGATTTTAGTCCTAAAGAAATTAATATTTCAGCGTAAAAGCACAAAGGGATGTGGAGTGATAACGTGTTTAGGTTCTAACTATGGTGCAAGTCCAAGAGCTCTATAGCAAAAAAGTATACTAGAGTCCATGTTCTGGTGAATCTAGTTAGAGCCTAGTAGACATGAATAACTGATGGCTCTAGAGAGGAAGTAGCAAACGACTCCTAAAACAGAAGGGCTTTTAGGATGTGAAGTCAAATCTTTTAAGAATTGGTAAAAGAAGATGTCTATGGTTGCATGTATTTTGTATTGAAATACGTTATGTGGTATGCTAGAAATGTATGTGAAATCTTGGTATTCTATTGTAACAGGCTCAGAAAATTGCTGAACATCGCCGAAAGTATGAGCGGAAACGTGAAGAGAAGGAAATCAAGGAAAGAATGGAAAGAGAGAAGAAGGCACGGGAGGAGCATGAGAGAGCACAAAGGGTGAGTACTTTGGCTTTAATATTTCTTGATATTTGGAGAGTGTCGTAGTTATTTTGCTTAAAATGAATTGCAGAGAAGAATTACTTTCATTTTTAAGTCTTAGAATTAAATTTTACGGAGTTGATTTCTGTCTTGATTACTTGACCAATAATGAAATCTGGAGAAGGCGGCATTGTACTGCATCTGCTTTTATTGCTTATAACAAAAACAGGATCTGGAATCTCTACTAATCATGTATTTCAAGGGGTCGCTTATTGTATGACTGTACCAGCATAGTTTTCACTTCAAGTACTTATGTCTCCTGAAGTGGGAGGCTTTAAATTCAAATAATACTTTGCTTCTCTTCCTCACTTTCTGATATGGTTTGCTTGGTTTTTCTTCATGCTTTACTGACATATTTTAATATGGTGGGGGTGGGAGTTCTAGAAATGTAAGTTGAGGTGCTAAAAACAAATCATAGAATCATTTAGGTTTGAAAAGATCTTTAAGATCATCAAGTCCAATGATATTGTATTGTACATGGATTGCTCTTGAGCCTTGTCACAGGCTTCCTGGTTTGCTCGTTGTGTGTGTATACATTTGTTCTCACTAAATGTAAATTAGAAGTTAATGTGCAAATGTGTAAATACAGCCAATACTCAAAATTCAGCTCTTTTGAGTATCAGGATGCACTAAACAGGATATGCTTCAGATGCAGAAGAAATGAAAACATGGAAAAGCAAATCGAGTACAGATAGTTCTAGAGATATGCAATGAAAGTTTGGTAAAGCAGTGAAAAGGGTATGAGAAGTATGTACAGAGGCTCTTGCATCCATTACAAAGATGCAGGGTGTTGCAGTGGATAAAAACAACTTGACTACCTGAGGTTATGAATTCAAAGCTGACCAGAGGTAAATTGTTGTATAGCCTGAATGCTGTTTCCTTCTTGTGCTTTTTTTTGCTCCATGTCAGCTGTTTCAAAAGAATAGAGACAGAGGCAACCACTGGAAGAGCGCATAGTTAAAATAACCATTAAGTTTCTGTATTTAATTTTCTGGAAACTACTGTAGCTTGAAGCTTAGTATTTGTGTTCATACTGGAAAACAAGAACACCCCTGAGCCCAAACTCTTGAATGTTTGATCCCTATGAACCATTGTAGGACTTGTCATATGCCTTATTATAAACTATTGTATTAGCAAGCCACTGCTGTCTTTTAGCATGTCAAGCAATTTGTTGGCACGTTGTTGGGACACTCCTATTGCCAGCTGTTAAAACATCGCTTCTCCCATAGGAAACTGCCCCATATTTATTCCAAGGAATCAAGTTCCCTGTTTTCAGGAATGTCAGATAACTTGTGTGCTCTAAGCATATCCACTTAAATCATACAGTTCATACTGAGTAAAAACGTACTATGCATAACTTATCGGCAAAAACATACTAAAGTAAGAGTAGACATTGCTACTTCTTGTCGGTAGTTTTGTACCTAGTAAAGTGCTTTATTTGTTTATTGCAACAGCCTACCTGCCTGAAACAGTCTCGGCTATTTTTTTCTCCTAAAACCAGTTGAGCAGTAGAAAACAGGCTGTAGTTCCATTACTTCGTTTGGAATGATGTACTTTCATCTGCAGGAGGAAGAAGCAAGACGACAGGCAGGAGGAGCTCAGTTTGGTGGCTTCCCAGGTGGCTTTCCAGGTATTTTGGTTTTAAGCACCAATACTTGATGTAGTGGTGACTGTTGGGGTTTTATGTTTGTATGTTTCTGTGTGCAGTATTATAACCACAGTTTTTATAGTGTTTGTTCTCAAGGCAGAGAGAAGAATATTCTATGAAGTTTAGAACTTGTCTACAAATAACTCTGAGCAATAGTGGGAAGAGGGATGGGATTCTTTCTCTTAAAGAGAAAAGGGTAGCAAGTAGAGGAAAGACAGAAAATAATGATGGATAACAGAATGAAAGGATTTAGGTCTGAGAAAACAACAAAGGTACAGTACTTCCTTAATAATATGTGCTGAAAAACTAGTACACAAATGTTTTCTAAATTACCCAGGGTGCCTTGGACCCATTCTGCTTAAGGACAATAGTTTTAAAGTTGAAAAATTGGATTGAATATTAGGGAAATCTGTGCTGGTTGCAAGCTGTTGTTAAACAGAATAGTTTTTCAAAGGAGGTAGTTACCTTATAGAAAAGCTGTCCTTGAACAGTTCCACGAAAATTGGGCTTTCCGTGTTATTTTTAGGTACAGTAGACTGGGGAGAAACAAGGGTACTAATGCTCTTGAAGATTGAGATATAGCTGAGGGAGGCTGTGTGCATGCTTCAAGCAGATCAGCTTGTCAGGGCAACCAGAGAGACCATATCTACCATGCTCAGCACAGCTGGGGTAGCTGCTGATCAAGGATTCAAAAACAGTCCTCAAGCATTTTGCTTCAGGGATTTTTTTTTTCCTTTGGTGGTACAATTTTTTTTCAAACCAAAAGTTTCTAGCAAGTGTGGAATGTGCCTGGAACATACTACTACTGATCTGCTTTTGCCCTGAATTGTTCACCCCAGGCGTTCAAACTCCTTAGGTTCCTGGGCTTGAGACCTACCTGATGTAAGTTAGCTTGTGTTGAAAGAAAAATAACTGCAACTCTGTACAAAGTGGTAAAACCCGACACTCATTACAAGCCTCCTATTCAATTGAGTTAAAAACATGGATGAAATAAGATGTAGGCCTTCACATAAAGAGAAGGTGAAGACCCTGCTTTGCATTCAGTGGAGCAGCTGTAGCCTTATGGAAGACATGGCTTTAAAGGTGTGGGAAAGGAAGTATGTCTTGGGCTCTCTCAGTGAGCCTCTTGTATAGATGAATTAAATGTTTTTCATCATGCATACTTCTTGTCTTGGGCTTGCAGGTGGATTTCCTGGGGCTATGCCTGGAGGTATGCCAGGAATGGCAGGTATGCCAGGCCTCAATGAGATTCTCAGTGATCCAGAAGTCCTTGCAGCCATGCAGGTGAGTATTTATTAAAGCTAAATGTTCTGAAGGAGGGAAGAACAGTGCCTATGAGCTAAGGGAAGGAAGAAAGATGTGACCTTCTACATAGCAATGGGATGCTTGCTTATTTCTGTTGTGAAATTCTGTCCTTCTGTGTGTGTGGCACCAGACTATCTGGAATCAAGGTTAGCTGTTTTTCAAACTGATGGGAGCCTAATTAAAGGCGCCTCCCCTTCTTCCCTCCCCATACTCGCCTACAATAGACAAAACTATGTGCTATGTAGAGTTCTTCATTTCTTTTGAGTCTCTTAAAGGGTTATTTTCCACACAGTATAATTCACTTGCTCCTTTCTTGAATGCAGATTGTGGTGAGATAATTATACACAAACAAAAAAAAGATTGCTAATATTGTTGCAACACAATATATTACAATAATACTGAGATGAGAATTGCCTTTCTCTTTAGGGAATTAAGTGTTTGGTTTTTACCAGAGGCAAAGTAGTATCAGAATAGTTCTTCATCTGGCATTTTCTAAATTCATGTTGACAAAACTTACTTCTCCAGTGGGCTTTATTAATTGCTCAATTAATTAATTGCTCAATGTCATGACTATTGTTACACAAGAAAACTATTCCACCAGATTAAATAGAACATATCTGACAACATCAGTTTTAGGGGCAGGTGGGCTAGGAAAAATCTAAGCTATATAGTTATATTTGCGTACTAACGTCATCAAGTGTCTTGTTACTTTTTCTGGATTGTTGTGCAGAAGCTAGAGTTACGTGTTGGTCTCAGCTCATTGAACAGCTATGATCCTGATCTAAATCAAAGCATCGCAAGGGACTTTTTATTTGGTATGCCCTGAAATCACAAAAAAAGCATCACTTACCATGCAGAAGTTTATGGATTCCCTTAATGGTTTCTCATGTTTGGCAACACGCCTTTACTTAGCCTGGCACAGTCAGCAATGTTGACTGGCATCCAAACCGTCCAAAAGAACCCCTGTGACTTCTCCTTCTATTTGTTAGCTGGCTAATTTATGATGTAATACAGGAGTTTGAAATTGAGTCGCTGAAAACAGAGCTTTGAGGTGCAGCTAAATGTTAAGCGCTTGCCACATCCCTTTAAGAAGATTCCATTGCATGCTGATTATATATACCCCAACAGATTGTAGGACTGTGTTGCAAGAATGTGTTGACAATGTTTTCTGATAATGCAGGCAGGCTTTAACATGTAGAGCCTGTCAGCAAAACCTTGGGTCTCTTCCTGACCTCTTTGTACAAACTTTACATCTAGATATGATTTATTTGGCATTTCACCTATGTTTGCACTGCCGCCTTTTCCTTAAATGTCCAACTGGCTATGTTGTGGTCCTGTCTGAATTGTCAGTGTAAACTCTAGTCTTAAAAAAGACAGTAGTTTCTACTGCTTGGCTTCTGCTCAGTGCAGCTATGGAATATGTTGATGGATAATGGTAGCTGGCAGCTATTACATAGGTTATCTGAGGCGTTACAAAAAAATTCTCATTTATTGTCTTCAGGATATTTCCTTCTTCTCTTTTTGTCAATTGTGGCTGATACTAGCCTTTTTAAGCATAAAAGGCTCAAAGTGGCAAAACTTCTGTTGCATTTATTTTCATAGCTTCTTAACAGTAGTATTTTTGACCTTTTGCAGTGACTTCTAATGCATGGTAATTTAGCTCATTTGCCCCTAAGCTTTTTAGTCTCCAGAAGAATTGGCTGAAATTTTTGTGTGTGTATTTCTCTTATTTCACTGTTTTAGCTGTCTGGAGGGTTCTGTAGTACTTCCTGTCTCGCATGTGCAACTGTTGTGTCACATGACATTTGTGTTTTGGAGAGCTGTCATGGGTCAAATATAAGTTCTTTTCAAAAGGAGTGATGTGTAAGATGAACCTATGGATTCCTTATCTGACATGTAGTTATATGTTACGCCCGGCCTTGCACCAAAATGTTTTGTTGGAAAAAAGAATAGTGATAACTTTTTCCTTAGTATTTTTCATCCTTCTGCAACTAAGGACAACAGCATTAGAAAACTGAATGTTTCATTAGTGCTGTTTACACAATGGTTCCCATTACTTCTTATGTACTAAATATTCCCCTATGGAAATGTTGATATCTTCAGTCTTAAACTTCATTCAGATAATATTACTCATTGATGTGAAACCTTGGATATGTTAAACATTTTTTTATAAACACAGTCTGACGTTTAGGGATTTGCGCAAGTACTGAATAATTCACATGCTGTGAATTTATAGGACCATAAAACACATAATTGGATATTTCACATTCATTTAGGTGTGCGTTGACATAAACCAGTGACTAAGCTTACTCAGCTTTTTGGTTTTGATTCATATACAGGTGAAAACACAGATTTAACAGCATGACGTGATTTTTACAGGCATGTGCCCTATTTTGAAATTGGAAATTCAAGAAATTTGAGGTTGTGAAAGTCATCTCTTTTTTTTTCTGCATAGGAATCCTGTAAAGTGGAGAAAATATATCTAGTGTCTGTCTGTTTTCTGAATATCAGCATACTATTTTTCATGGGCTTTGCAGATTCCCTTTTGCAAGGGGGACAAAACAGTTGTAAACCCTTCTAACAAAACATAAGTCTTGACTCTTGGTTCCCAACACGTATAAAACATGACTGAACCATGTGGGTGATTTCAGTGGAGTCCACACCTACCAAATGCAATTTTGGATCAAACTTGTTAAACAGCTTTTGTCTGTGTCTGATGATAGAATAGATACAGGGTGGTGTTACTGTAGGCCAGACAGCTCTGAAGACACCAGTTGGTTTTTGATGGTTTCTAAAGAATACATCTGCAGTAGCAATGGGCTAGAAGTCTAGGGAAGATTGTATGTTCCAGTGAAACTACTTAAATGCGGTAGAAAGAACAGCAAATGAAATCACAGCTGATGCAGATGATTTGTATTGGACATAATAAACGGCTTGCACTTTATCTGGGTTAAAGAAAACTTGAATCTTTGCAGAAGTTGCTTACAATGGAAACCTTTTTCCAAGCTGAAATGTAAAATCAGTCTATACAGATTTATTAAAAGGCACTGTACAAAACATGCACATGTGAAATTACTAAAAACATTTCTAGCTTAATGGAGACCAAAGGTATACTAGAAGTACAGAAAAAAAGTATTAATGCTTCTCATACTAAATAGAGAAGATGAAGTTGGTATTCTTTTGACCACTGACTTTACTGTATAAGTGAATGTATTTATTAACTGCAACACAGTAGTGTGATGAGAGAGAAGGTGGTTCTTTCCCAGTTGTGATTTCTCAGAGGAGGTGGGGAATGACTGAGAATTAAATGCATTTTCAAAAGCCAAACATTGCCACATCGTTTACCTGCAGAGTAAAGTTTCTGCTGCTAGAAGGAACAGAGGTGAAAGGGATGAGTAGCAGCTATTGCTCAGAGAAGGGTTATCCTATCGTGTGTGCTACACACGTAGAGCTTCTGCATCCTTCAAAATGTATTTGAAGATGCCTGAATAGAAATAATCCAATAGACGTGGCTGTGTTTGGCTCCTGTTTGGGGAAAAAGAAACCTTATCTTATGCCCCTTCTCACACATAGCACTATTACTGTAACAAGTTCAGTAATTACTCTGGCGTTCACTGATGCAGCGTTAACAGCATGCACTATGTCATTGGGTTCTCTTTAGCGACATCTTGCTCAAAACTCTAATCTGCTCTTGTCATGTGAAAAGCTGAGCAAGGCTGGATTCATGTTGGAACCATATAACCACTAACTTGTAGACTTGTTTTATAAACACCCTAACTTTTTTGCTTTTTGTCCTGCAGGATCCAGAAGTTATGGTTGCGTTCCAAGATGTTGCCCAGAACCCAGCAAATATGTCCAAGTACCAGAACAATCCCAAGGTCATGAATCTCATCACTAAATTGTCTGCCAAATTTGGCAGTAAACCATAAAATCCCTGGATCTTAAAAATCATATCTGAATGGGAAGGATTGGATTTGGCTAGCCAGTGTTGCAATAAAACAAACCATTGTACCTCTGATCTTCTTAAGAAGAGAAACGGGGTGTTCTAAGGAGAACTGCTCTGTAGCCCCAAGCATTGACTTTATTCAATGATTGGTTTATAGCACTCAGATTATATTCAGATGACCTAGTTTAAACCATCCCTCCTTGTCCAAGAGTTGCAACCTTTAATTGTAAGTATTGCAGACAGTTTCCTTTAAGTGAACTCTCCTGTAAGAAATTGTAATATTCCAGGAGTGTAAGATAAAAACCTGCTGTTGTGTTATTTTGGATTTTTTTTTAATTACACTTAGTGAGCAAAGAGGAAGGAACTTCAACAGTTGAAGTCTGTCCTAAGTTGGCCTAGTCACAAATAGGAAAGGTGGGACAAGTCTGAAGAATTAACTGGATAAAGGCATTGTCTGCAAATATACAAGTCCTTATTTTTTTTTAAATGGGTTACTGACTTTATATAGCTATTAAAATTATCAGTATAACCATGCTAGCTAGTTACACACTGGAACTTCTGGTGGTATTACAAGTAATGTAATGTTTTGATCACCACAACTGTGCAGCAAGGGTACAGTCCTATCCTTTGCACAACCTGGCATGAAGTACATATTGCAGAGGCCACAGAGGTTTTGTTACTTGCTCAGTTCTTGTCCAGCACCTTTACGTAACATTTTATTTATCAGTCTGGGTATGGGAGAGCAGCTTACTGTCTGTGCTCGTGCTCTTGTCCTTTCCCAGTTTGCAGGTCCTCCACTGGTTGCACTCGCCCTTCCTTGGGGCCATGCTTACCAGGTTTCATCTATTTAGAAACTTTAGGGAAGGAATCTTGTTCCCATCACTACCTCTGTCCTACTGAATGCAAGCCATCCAGAATATGTAAATGCAGAGTTATAAATCAGTGAAGGGGAGAATACCCAACAAAATTGCAGCTCTGTGTTCTGAGTGTGTTTGAGTCCTTACATGCTTACTGATTAAAATTTCTTGGCCAAAGTCCTGCTGTTTCTGTAGAGGTGATGACTATTCCTTCACCACATACTGTAGTCTTCCATCTTTTCTTGTATCCTTTTCTTTAAACAAACAAACAAAAAAAAAAAACCCAAAAAACCCCAATAAAAAAGAAAGCTCATTCCTGGCATGCACACACACTTTCTTTGCTGCATTTAGTAAAGCTTCCCCACATACTGTAGTCTTCCCATTTTTTTTTTTTCCTTTTTTTTTAACAAACAAACCAAAAAAAAAAAAACCCAAACACCCCCCCCAAACAGAACAAAACAAAAAGTAGTTGTTGTGATTTCATACTACCATGTTTTTGAGGCTTGTGATACGGAGGAAAAGGTGAAGTAATTGGAGCAGACAGAACGTTCTTCTAATGCTTGTGGGTTAACAGCATTGGGTATCCTTGAAGCAGTGTCTATGCTGATGATGTTCAGTTCATTTGTCTACCAATAAAGACAGTTGTTGCTTTTGTCTTAGCCAAAACATTATCTTTCTGTGGAAAAATGACCATAGTTACCTGTTCACCACTTGAGTGTCAATGTTTATGTTACTCTTTTGTAATTCTGTATCTTAAGCCATAACTGATGTTACCATTTTTAAATAAATCTGGATTGGTGTAGGAACTCAACAACAGTTGCAAAAAATAAATCCCCAAATGCTTTTTCTCATACTAATGACCCTGCAGTATGAAATGTGAATCTTTTTGCTTAAGAAATATAGTTCTGAATACTTCTCTTAGCCTTTAAAAATAAAGTATGGTTTTGAAAAATAAAGTTTTTTGGGTTTGTGTAACTTTCTGATAAAGCTTATTTTGTTTAAATTAAATGTGGAAGTGCTTCAATTAAACTGTATATATGTAACTTGGGATTTAAATTGGAACTAAATGCGTAAGGGCTTGTCTCCATGACCAAATGAACTCAAGTTATGATTGAGCATTGCAGTGTGCCTGGCTTTTGGTCATACTCTTGATCTCCCGTTCCTAAGAGGAGATACTTGAAGTAGGTCATCCCTCAGTATAGGCTGAAACTCAACTTCTTCATTCAAGATTGTGTGTATGTGCCATGCATGATTTAACATTTTTAATTTATTCCCTACAGTTTCCTGTTCCTCCGTCTTGGCTGCTTGTGTCTGTCTACCCGTGACTAGTGAAAAGTAGGAAGTTACTACTAGCTAGTAGAAATGGTCATATCTGTGTCCTGCTTGCTTACACATCAGTTGCCCTTATTCAGAGCTGATTGCCTCAAGAAAAATTTCTCCCTAATTTTGGTGTTGGCATTAGCAATCTAGCTGAATTCTTTTGATCCTTTGGGAATGTGCATCCCACAACTCCCTTGGTGTGTGTCTGTTTTTTTATTTTTATTGTTATCCAGTAAGTTAATTGAGGAGATGTCTGGACTCATCTCAGTTCCCCAGGCTGGCATGTGGACATTTAAGCAGCTAAACTGGTTTGAACAGAAGTGCAAGTGCAAAAAGTTAATTGCCCGGGAGATGAACAAAGGTGCTAAGTTCTAAGTGCAGGGTATAAGTAGTTATATGAGGAATTTCTTATTTCTTACAAGTACAGTGGCAGGAATCAACTCGGCTGACAATTTGACTGTAAAAGCTGCCAGTGTGTATGAATGGTTCAGCTAGGACAGCGCGGCATCTGAGGTGCTGACCCAGGTTCAGGCATGCATTTCTGCCATTTGAAGCAAGTCAGGTACTGTGGGGTTTGGCCAATCCGCTGCCACAGATTAGATGACCTGGTCTGTGAGAGAGTATGATGATACACCTGCAACTGGCTGGTAGCAGAGGGTTATACCTTTGATGTGTGTGTGAGTCTGAGTGACTTATCTGTCCTCTGCGGTTCAGTTGCCGCCCCAAGGTAAAATAAATGTCAGGTCAGATGCCACTTCCAGACTGTACTACTTCACAGTGAGCCCTACTGCACTGTAATGTGGAGAATGCAAGGCTTGGTGCCTTTACCAGATAGTTTTTTTTAAATTTCTCATGCTTCAATGTTGGGCTCTGAATAAAAGCTGTTTGTCAAAGTGGCTTGATTTGTCCGATCTGATGGGCAGGAGCCAGATTGTCTCAAAGCTCGATGAAGGCAAGGTGGGACAAGGCTGTCAGAGGCATAATGGGTGAATAAATGAATATTAAAGCACCATGTAAAGGTAAAAGCATGTCGTAGAAACTGCTTGTTGCAAGTAGCAAGCAGTAGTATATGTGGTTTAATGTATATCTCTTTAAACACCACTTCGTTCTTGTTCGTTACCTTCAGGGCCTTTGCATAAAGCTCATACAAGCCACACTCATATATGTCTGTACATCGCTCTTCTGTGAGATGTAAGAGCAAACAATATTGTTATGGGAGCTTGTAGCAAGTGATGTCTGAGCAGAATCTGTCACCAAAAGGGATGGGAGGTTGTGGACCCAGCCAGGGTGAGGTGGAGCCAGGTCAGCTTTGGCATGTACCTTCCTGTGGATCGTGGCATACTCCTGCCTGGAAGTATGTGGAGTCCCTTTGAAATCCCACAGGGCATCTAGGCCGAGGGATACTGCAGTGCTGTCAGGGTTACAGGGCAAGCGGGTTGTTGGAATAGTAGAGGCTGGGTGGTTGTTTCCTTTCTTTGGCTGCAGGGTAGTCTGATAGTGGCAGTACAGAATTGGATTGGCATCTTTGAGCAGGATCAGAGCTTTGTAGAGGTGGGCCTCAACCATACGTGATACATGACAGAGTGAGGGCAGCACTGTAGAAAAGTAATTCTGGATTACCAAAGAGCTGAAATGGAGTGAAAATGGCAACTTCTAACTAGATGCAGAGACCACTACATTGAGTCCTATAGGACAAGTCATAGAGGTCAGTAGTATGATACAACCAAATGCAAATACAGGCAAAGCAGGAGCAGTTTTAATGTTGACAAAGAAAAGAAGCGGGTCAGGTGGTGGCTGGTGGTTCTGTGCTGTGGAGCAACAAAAAGATTCAGGTGACTCTGGGCTACAAATAGTTGATCACCTTGTGAATCAGAGCTTAGGTAAGTCACGTTCTCCTGGTGTGGTCCTCACAAACAAACTTTATGTGAGGTAAACCTTCCATCCCCACTGACTGGAGGCCCTATTGAATGTAAATACTGAGGACTTTCCTGTAAATCTGAATCTTGATGACTAACCAAATCAAGATGTTAACTTGTAATCTTGCTAAAGAAGTGTTATTACTGTAGCTGTCTGATGTATAAATATGCTTTTGAAATGTATATTCTAGATGGATGGTCTCAGACAAGCTTGAGATCTTGTCAATAAATAAATGTATTTGCAGAATGTATTACGGCTCTTTTTGTAAAGTAAATGGGTAACAAATTTGGCACCTTTATTGTTGCACACGTTTACTGAAACCAGGATTTTTTTTAACATACAAACATCTCAGTGGCTACAAGGAATACAAGTTGCTACTAGGTGAAAATAAATTAAATGTGAAAGATTGCAGGATTGGGGGTAGCAGTTTATCTTGGACTTTCTTCCTGAAGTACAGCAGCTGAAGCAGTCAGATGGTAAGCATAATGTGTATAGAATAAAGCTATTCAGATGGAAAAGGTACTTATTTCTGAATTATAAATTAAATAACAGAGGTGAGGTCTAAATCAGTTAATAGTGAAGGGGATTCCAAGGGAATTCCATTATTGAAACCTTTAATTTTCTAAATCTAATGTTCTCACTTTGGAGAGTAAGAGTTTTTAGAAATGAATTAGTTTGCATCTTGCATTTCAGAAAGAAATGTATCATAGCAGAAAACCAGAGCCATCACCTAACAACCAGTGCAGTGTTTAATAAAATTACCTTTTAAAATAGGCTGAAGATAACAGTTATTACGTCATGAGGATTAGATGGAAAAATATCAAGGTATTGAGAACAAAATGGCTGATCTGTTGCCAACTGCACTGCCTCTCATTAGAGAAAATTCATGCTGAAGAAGCTCGGCCACTAGTGGCTAGTTCTCACCTGGAAAAGAAAAGCACCAAATGCTACCTTCAGATTTTTAAAAAAGGATCTAAAAAAATGGCGAACAGTGTATAAGGGAAAATGAACGCAACTATTCTAAAAGAAGACTTGCTCTAGCTTTTTTGTGTGTTACCCCACAATAAGGAAAAGTGCTTGAGAAAAACAGATTTTCAGAAGCCATTTTGTAATCCATGATATTTTTTCTTTAGTCTCTTGTGTGAAAACTTTTCAAACCAAAAGAAATAAAAATCAAAACTGGAATGAATTACTAGCCTTTTCAGAAAAAAAAACCACAACCCCCCAAACCAAA